GGGCGGCGGTCATTTCCGCGAGGAACTGAAAAAGGGGCTGGAAATCGGGGATCATTTCCGCAAATTATTTCATGACAATTTTTGTTACCATTTGGAGGAGTTGGCAACGTCGGCAAACCTGAAACTATCCCCTAAATAAACATTAATGTACTCACCCATTGATTCAAGAAGATTCAAGAAGAAGACTGTGATTTGAAGTAGCAAAAGAAGATACAAGAGGTCGGTTGACAAAAAGTTCCAAAACTCCACTTCATTTTGTAAAAAGTAAAAGTTCGGAACTTTTTCCCCCCCTCCCTTAAATCACGTATATGCAAATCGCAAAATTTCAAAAAACCTCTTTCTTTTTAAAAAAAAATAAAGAAACTGTCCGCACGGTAAGGATTTTTGCACATCTCAACATTTCAAAATCCACTTTAAAAAAAAACAACAAAGAAACTGTGCGCACAGTTTTTTTTTAAGATAAAATAATTATCACGTCACATTTTAAGTCGAAAACTTTAAACTTTCTTCCCGTGAAATCGGTATCCCATAAACTTCAGGTACCTCAAGCGAGCCGTTTCAGAGCCTCCTTCTAATGCTTCTTTGCATGTATTCCATGCCTGGATGGATGTTGCAAGTCGATCGGCGGTTTCTTTCCGGATAACATTTGTAGATTGCTTCTTGATTGAGTTAATTTTTGTCATTGTGAGAGCTTGCGTTTCTAGTAAAACTTGCGTGACACTATGAATTGAAGGCCGATGGTAAAAATTTTTATTGTAATTGCTGTGGAAGGATTCAGGTCCATTGGTCGTTCTTGGCCCATCAGAGGGGGGGCCTGCCCACATGCTAGGAGGAAACAGTGCCGCCTCGTCTATGTACGTTTCTAAGACATAATCGGAAAAATCAGATGGCACTTGGGGGGGTGCAATCGATAGTAAATCAACGAAACCTGCTTCTATTTCAGTAGGCGGTAAATATGGCAGGCCAAAAAAATATTTCAAATATTTGCCCACTTCAGAATCTGGCGTATTATATTCTCTAAGAAGGAACTTGTTTTGCTGAATATGTTTAAACCAATTCTGAGCTAAATGAAAGGTGCAGCACAATATAAGGCATTCCGGAAACATTGCTAGTACGGCATTATGAGCAGCTTTCTCAAAGTCAGCGTAAAAGTGTGAAAAGCAGAAAGTTTTACCTGTTAATTGTTCGCATATGGCCAACAACCGTCGCCACATTAAATTGTAAGTGGCCTCCGTTTTATTTTCAAGGAAGCAAAAAGCAACAGGAACGTAAAATTTTTGAACGTAAACATGTATAGTATATAATTGCGTGAAGTGTTGAGGGGCGAATGAAAAGGTTCCATCTGCAAAGGCATCGGTGCAGCTACTCAATAAGTTCATGTTTTCGGTGCATGTAAAAATTACTATGGGTTCGGTGTCGTGAACAAAACAAAACTGTTCCTTTTGAAACAAAATTTGTTCCTGTTTGTCAAATAATTGTTTGATAGCTTCGTTTCTACTACCTGGTAAAGGGTTCTTCGTTAATTTTCTTCGTTTCCTGTACATACTTTGCCGTAATGACTCTATGTGCTGAAATTCCACTGCGTCAGTCCCCTCTGCCAATAAATTCCTACCGATTATGGCAGACGGTTTCTCTCTGATGTTTTCGGTCGCTTTTCTTTTTAAAGTTTCCTTAAATTTCTGTCTCGTTATTTCATCATCAGAATATTGGTGATTTGGTGCAGAATGTTCGTTCTTAACTTCCAAAACATGTTCGCGGGATTTATCAACTAAAACACTGTACCTACAACTTTTCATCGTACACCGATACCGCACATTTCCGTTCTTAAGTACATTTGCTTGACACAATTTGTAATTTTCAATTACTATGCAATTTCCGCCTCGCGTACTAACGTACTTTTCCGAAATTTGAACATCCATCCCGCACACGCAGTCACGCACTGACTTGATACCAACTGATCAGTTTCAGTTCCGAGAGAGCGGTCAGCGGTGTCGCACCTTTCATTCATTTCTTATCAGTGCAGCGCGATGCGACATGTGATGCGGCAAACCTCCTTCTAGATCATTCCAACAACTTAGAGTTGCCACGTTGTGCATATTCATTTTTTGCACTTGCGGAAACGATCGATGATTTCCTAGCGGAATGATCGCCGATTTCCAGCCCCTTTTTCAGTTCCTCGCGGAAATGATCGACGCCCGACTCAGAGCGCGAGTAGGAGGAGAAAGAAATGAAGGAGTAAGACAAACGGAGAAAGTAAGCTCCACAGAGCATTTGCGTCTGAGTCATTGCGATCTTCGAAAATTTAATTGCGATTTCTGATTCGGTACATGAACAATACTGGAGCCCTCAAGTTGCTGATTAACTTTGAAAAATACCGTGTTTAAAAAAGTGTTATGTGTTGAAAGAATGATCTTAATGTTAAATATTATACTTTAAGCGTTCAGTTGTAGTTTAGTTTGTTCTTCGGTGCTTCGTTGTTTGCAATCGTCCTTAATTTATGGTCGGGTAGTTACTAGGATATTTCCGTTTATCAATTTAAGAGGCTCATAATTTGACAATTATGCAAAGAATGCACCACCTATCTTTTCTTTCTCTCTTTTTTTCAATGAGAGAGATTTTAATGACACCGCTTCTCTCTTACTGTTGGCAAGAGAGAAAATTTTGCAATACAGTATGGTACTTCGTCGGCTTGTTATGCAAGTATTGAAAATGATTGATGCTGAAACCGTGGAGATATTTGTGGTTGATCATCAATTTTTCATGTATATTTTATGTTTGGTCTACGTCTTATTTTTTACTTATGTAGAGATGGATGATAGTCTTCTTTAGAATTCAAGATTTCTGAAGGAGAAGTGAGAATACAAATATAATAATGGAACGACTTTATACGGCGAAGATTTTCGATTAGGACGCACAATATATCTTTGAAATTTCCCTAAAAAAAGACGCGCCGCTCATTTGATTTGATCATAAAATCAACCCTCAAGTTCAAACAAAGCTTTTCAAGTTTAGGCCTTAATGGAGGATCCAACCCGGTCAATTGGGGTCAACTTCTAAATTCTATTAAACTCTCTATGCAAGAAAAAGGTCGAATATTTTGGCAGGGTTGTCTTGACTGAGGGCTAAAAACTCCTATCGTGAAACTTGGGACTAGTCGCATAAAAATCCGTCATTTCGGTCTAAACTTCATTAGGTATATCTTTGTGTTGGGTGACAGAGTTTTTAGAAAATCTGAAGCAAGATGTACTTCTCTTTTTTGATCTCTGCTCTAGGTGTCAATGATTCAGCTTTGTTAAAACACCTATAAATAAATGTATAACAATAACAACAACAACAAAAACAACAACAACAACATCATCATACTTGTTCTCAAAATTGCTGAACTTTTAAAAAATTTAAGATTGAAATGATTGGATCAAACCAGCGTCGTACGTTGCCGCTTTAGCTTTATTTTAGCCGTCCGCAAGCTTTATTTTATTGGCAAAAAACGGGTTTTAAATATCGAAACTCTCTGTATATTTTCATTTCGTTCTTAAGAATACATTTACAAAATTCTATTTAGAATTGTCACCTAATGTTCTGCTGTAACCATTGGCAACATTTGATTTAACTAGGATTAGTTTAGTTTAATCCGTCCGAATTAGAACATCGAAAATTCCCACAGCATGCAAGAATTTTATCGTTAGGACCATAATTAGGTTCAAATTACACAACCATCAATAATGTGCACTTAATTTTATGTCAGTAAGTTTTCACGGCAATTAAATCAAATGCTCCTCCGTTGGTTATATAGCACATGCCATTCGCGAGACAAAAATAAAAGTGAGAATATTCTGTAAGTTCCGAACCTAGTAGCTTGGAATCCTCAAAGGGTCGCGTTAAACGTAATTATGAGGGTTTGGATGCCATTAGCTGATATTTTATTACTCAACAGCTTCTCTGGAAGGCAGAGTGTTGCGCGGGTTGTATAGCCCTCATTAAATTGATGCGTAGCCGTAAACTGGAGGACGGACACGCTACGGTTGCTACGACCATTCCGCAAAGATCGATAGCGGAGAACTGTCAGAGTCCCCTACTCGGTGCTTATTTTGAAAGGTCTTCAGATTTGCTTAGTTTTGATCACTCTCTCAAACCGCGATGGTTTACGGGCTTATCAGGTGCCAAGCAAACAAACAGAACTTACCTTTCAGACAGAACCTTTTATAAGCTTGGCTCTATCCATCAATTAACCTAATGATGGGAATCAACTAAATTAATGAACCCGAATCGTAAACAACTCAGCAAATCAAATTACGGATGAACCAACGAGCTAATCACAGTAATCGCGAATAAATCTAATTAGCAAATCTAACGCCGAGCAGTTGGCACGGTCTAATTGTCCGTTCGTCTTTCTCTTTGCCTCGTATGTTTCTATTTTAATTATCTTAAAAGGGCGTCTCAGACATTACTCTCCCCTTCGAAAGAGGTGTAATGTATTCCAAGCCTAGCCTTTATGAGGATGAAACGGAATGATTTGTCATTCTGGATTCATGCGCATTCCAGCTTTATGAGCAGTTTATGCCTCTCCTATTTTTTAACGATATGTTTCTGCAAAAGCTCTCGTACTTCGAAAGTAAAATGTGCCGCTTCATTTCTATAGAGAAGCCGACACTTGCAATAAAAAGTTTATTTTTGAAAATATAAACGTTTGAGGCGAAGTGTATAGTTTCACAGATAGACATCGTGACCGTGGTGGCGCCATGTTATCCATGACTGTATTACTTATTTAAAAAAGAAATCACTGATTTATCTTTTTCGCTCATACAGATACCCGAACTATTTTGAACATAAATTGCGCAGGTATGTACATCCTTTTAATAATTAAGTTTTTAGAGTCAATTTTGGAACTTTGAAACGCAGTACCGTTCCTTCGTGCGGTAAACAACGATCTGTCTTAGAAGAGACGTTGATCTTTCAAACTTGAAATTTTTTAAGGTCTTTGGAACAATCATCGAAAAATAGAATGGCCTCTTCTGCTCTGTCATCTGATGCATGTCTTTCCCTGTCGTAAAAATATTGCCTACACGGAAATAAGTGTTGGGGTTATCTCTTAAAATTGTGTTACTACTCCAATTCGTTGGATGATTCGAACTTGTCCATTTAATTGTGGTAGTACCGCAACATTTGGGTCAGCAACCTAGTTTTTTTGGGGTACTACCAAAATAATTGGAAATTTCCGAGTAAAAGGACTTAACCCCTACCTCTTCTTCTTTTTGTTATTTTAGCGGCTTTTAGGTACTCCAGTAGAGGAGCCTGTAGCCATCTACAGACATTTAGTATAATATTTTAGAAGCAGGATTTATTAATTGTAGGGTTAGGAATATTTGTGGTGGTTATTTTGAAGAAAAAATAGGGTAGGATCTAGAAGACCAAAACCACTTTCACTTCCCCAGACCTTTCAAGACGATTCCTATACCATAGTTAGACTGGGTCTTGGAAAACATTCAATGGGATTTGCTAGGTATTTGGAAGTTAGAAAGAAAGTTGAGTAAAGGATAAACTACAGTCTTTCCCTGAGTAGCTATTTTCCTAACCCTTACCTCTTTCTCCGTGCAGTTTAGACAGGATGTTGCAGTCATTAAATCAGTGCATAATTGGGACGAAAAAACATACGCGATCGCGGTTTTCAAAGTTGCAGGACTTGAACCCTACCACTTTTTCCCCGCGCAGTTTGGACAGAATGTTGAGGTCATTAAATCAGTGCATACGCCGGACGAAAAAACCCGGGAAATTGCGGTTTGAAGTTGAAAAGTTGCGTTTCGGAAATCGAGTTTGGAGTAGTTGCGTTGGATGTGCCTTCTGGCAGCATCAAAATCCATCACGAAACAATTAGTCGGACTGGAAGCGAAGCTCGACCGACGCGGCCGGCTACCATTGGCGGAGGCGCGGGCACGCCTTTGGGGGCGAACATCAGCGCGGGCGGTTGAGTGTTACCGGGGGCTTTCAAGCGGTTTCGTCTCGGATTTATCGTAAGCAGCATTAAAACTTTCCAAGCTTGGTCTACCGTGAAAAGCCACAACTCGGGGCCCGGTTGCCCGGCCTCGCGTGGAAATGCTCCGAATCCGCGCTGACTCCTGCCCCGGAGCTCGACTTTTTCCGCTCGAGCTGCCATCCGCGGCGGCTTAGTTGTTAATTTTGACGCAAAGTTGCGCCCGAATGGCACGCGAGGACAAAATTCGCAGTTATTAGATCCTTGTAGATAGTCGATCGGGCTTTGGGGGCGGATTTTCACTCACGGTGGACCTGAGCCGGTATCATCAACGTAGTCAAATCTACTGAATTCCGCATGAAAAAACTGATCGGGAAGTCTGAAAATCAACTCCAGAACATTATAAATCCTTGTAGATAGTCGATCGGGCTTTGGGGCGGATTTTTCCTCACGGTGGACCTGAGCCGGTATCATCAACGTAGTCAAATCTACGAAATTCCACCCAAAAAAATCGATCGGGAAGTCTGAAAATCAACTCAAGTACAAGATAAGTGTTTTTTATTAAAATCGATTGAAGTGCTGAAATACAAATGACATCATTTGTATACTTAATTGAATTTCCATTTCATCTGTGTTTGAAAGACTTCACTGGAAAAAAAACACCTTTTCGGATCATCAAACATATTTCAAGAATGGGTATACTGGCCCGATCGCTCTGTAAGGAAGTATGGGTAGTTTTGAGCTAAAATGCCCTGCTGAGGAAGAACGCCGTATGAACACCTGGAAGTTCCGTGATAGCGCCTACAAGACTGCCTGGATACTGATTGAAATACTGAATTTAAAATAAGGATTAGTTTTTTGACAACCATTTTTGGCACGGAGCCATTTTCATTTTTGCAAAACACCCAATACATTTGCCTGTAAAACATGATCATTTTAAATGACAATCACGGGTGCAAACAACATGAGTTACCATGAGTGCGAACGCTGACTCCGCGAGTAAGAATATCAGCGCCTCTCTCA